TGAATCCAAAAGGTTCTGCCCGACAAACTTTCCCCAGCAGAGGCAGACCAGAAATTCCCACCTGCAACCCAAGAGGGCATTTACACATGCAGAAGCTCTACGTGAAAGGTGGTTTGGCGCCCCACAGGTCTGGGTCGGGATAGGAGGGATAATCTTAGCATCTTGTAACTTTCACCTAATTCTTCATAATTACAGGTCCAGAACAGCGGGGCTTGGCAAGTGACAGCACGGGGATAGGTGTATATTTTGCCATGTTGCAAGGGGATGAGCTCTCTGCAATAATGCAGCTGACTCGGCTCCCCAGGATGGCCCAATTCTGCCGGTGAAGACATTTATCTAAACAGTTAGGACCCAGCACAATATCGTTAGGCCAAACTGGTTGCTATGCACCTTACTTCCTTGCTTCAGGTCACACTCCAGCATGCAATTCCTTACCCCCCTCTAACTCCGTTGGTCAAGTACTATTTTTCAAGACAACAAAATGAGGTGGAGGGGAACGGACTGCCTAGGGAAGTCTTGAAAGCTCCTTCGCAGGAGGTTTCCAAGGGGGAGCTCGATCTTAGGACTAGGGAGGTTAAATATCGGTTAACTGAATAGTTGATTAACCTCACAATTCTTATCGGTTAGTCGATTACTCTGTAGTCCCCAGGAGTGGGGCCAGAAGCCAGTGCACTCCAGCCCCACTCCCAAGGAGCCCCCTGCCGCCTCTGTATCAGAGCCAGCAGAGTGGGGTGCCAGACGGGAGCTGGTCCACAAGGGGAGCCAGTTTAAAAACTTGTTGCCCCGCGTTGCTGCCTCTGATACAGAGGCAGCAGCACTGGATGGCAGCAGCCCCTGTCTAGGGCAGGGGCTGAGCGCCCGGACCCAGCACAAGCCAGAACTGAACCTGGCTGCCTGCCCACCTGGATCCTCGTACACTTCAAATGCACATGGGGGTAGGTCCCAGGCCCGGCACAAGCGAGGAGTGAGCTGGGCTGCTGGCCAGCCTGCTAAAAAATTTACTGGTAGGTGGGGGG